TTGGCATCATCTGAGTAGGTATTGTGAAGAGACAAAGTTTTAATGACACGTAGCTTATCATAACCCATAGGAAAGCAGCAGTTCATTAAAATGAAAATGGTGATAGAGAAAAGATGAGGCACAGGGACAAAAATGGAACTTTTTGATGATTGCAGAGCCAGGGCATTACCAGATATAGCAAACGGGTAGGCAGCACCGGGGAGAGCAGGCTCTGGAGGAGGCACGACGAGGCCGCTGGAGAACAGACACGCACGGGCTCGAGGCGGCGGCATCTCCAGCGCTTGCATCACCCGTGGGATCTCTTGCATTTTCAAAACACGTAAGAGAAATATTACAACATACCAAGAATTATAACTGTATTGTACATCAATGTAGTCTCCTGGCTTAGGTATTTAAACAGTGCAATCTGGAAAAATGTAACCGTAGTCTCTTTAGCAGCATTTGTTTTTAAGCAAACCTCTCATACCCCTCACTTCACTTTTGTCTCCTGTTAATTCACCTAGCTGTACTTAGGTTACATTTTACTTTTTAACAAATTGAGCAGGAAATGCCAAAGAGATTAATAGATTTCTAATAGCTTAGAAACACTGTTATAGGTGATTTATGAACACCATTCCCTCCATCATGACATTAAAACACATCCATCTTTCTGATGCTCCTTCCCCTGCCTCATTTATGTCTCCATGATGATTCTCAGTCTCCTCCTCCTGTGACTAGTCCGAGTGATTTTGTGTCACCACAAAATCTGGCACCTGCCAGCTCACCTCAGCGCCACAGTAGTCTGGGATGGAGTGTGACAGCCAGCGCTGTGTTTCTCTTGGCCAGTGTCTGCTCTGTGGCCATCCTCTTCCATTGTGTTTATGCAGACTAAGCTGGGAATGTTGCTATAGGATTTTACATATGATTTCAGAATGCATTAAGAAATCTTCATAGAAACCTTCCTGCTTGTATGGCAACAAGTCAAGCTGGACCATGACAATACGCTGTGGCAGTGCTTTGCTAGTGTGAAAGAGCAAGGGCAGCCAAGCATCGCCACGGTGGATAGTGACACCAGTAATGTGGCTCTGTGCCACGATGGTGACAGTCACCACCCCAGCATGGACCAAACTCCGACTAACCATCAACATGGGGATGTCTGCGCCGAGTAAGCTGGCCACGAGCGCAGTGCCAGCCAAGGCTGCTCACTACTACGTGCCAACGTACGGCCTGGCCCAAATATCATTTTCATGTCTGACATGACAGCAGATTTGCTTATCAGTAAGTTCTAACTGTTTTTGCCCCCAAACTTAGAGGTATCATCACACAGGTATTGTACTTACCACTTGAAAGGGACATCAGCACAACCGGAATATCAAGAGACAAAGTGAATAATCAGAAGTGTGTAACTACCAACTTGCCTTAAGAGAAGACGGCTCTTAACACAAACCTACCTAGGCCTCCAGCCTGGGCGGCCTGAGCTGGCTGCTCAAATGTAAGTGCTCAGCAAGTCAGTACAGCCAGACAGCTGCGACCTGCCTTCACCACGTCAGGGAGCACGGGCAGCTTCAGTGCACATCCTTCATAGAAATAAAAATCTCCAGAGCCCTTTTAATATAAAATGTTTTTATTGTTTTTGAAAACATTTAAAAAACAATTTTTGAGCACTTTCAATAAAAAAAATAACTGAAATGCTACTGCAATATTCAACTACTGTAGTTTCAGCAGTACAACAGACAACAAAACACTGGGGAGGAAGGGAGAAATCGGGTTTCCTGCACTAAATGAAAACATAGAACAGGGGTTTTTATTTCCTTACGGTGCAGTAAAGAAAGCACAGTATAGTACAAGACTATCATATGAACCTCAAATGCACTGCACAAAAAATGCTTTCCTTCTTTTCAGTTCAGAAGTCAGTGCTTATTGCAATTATTTGCAAATTATTTACTTCATGAATTCTTATCATGATAAAATGATGCAAAAATGCTTTTCAACACCAGAACAATAAAAAATAATCCAAGAAAGGAACATATTCAACAATAACTAAGCTGAATTAGTTAATATAAAAAAGTAAATAACTTGTGAATAACTATGCTCACCTGGTTAACACCGAACCAGTTTCAATACCGCAAAAGAATAAAAAAAAAAATAAAAGTGGTTACAGGAATATATCTAGTACTGTACAAGTCATTAACACGCATGCACGTTTTGTGATCATGTATTAACATGGTGAAGCAAACTAAACTTAATTCTTCCTGCTGTAATATTCTCATGTAAGAGAATAAGAAATAGAAATATCTCATTGAGATCAACGCACATTGCTACATAAGACAATTTCACTTGTCACTTTTAATGACATTTTGCCTTTTAATAATGAAACACATTAAAAAGTCTTTTTTTTTTTTTTCTTTTTTCTTTTTAAATCAGTGGGCCGTATTTGTTGCATTTATCCTAAGGAATGTGCCTACCACAGGTTCGACAGAATTTTAGTGCAATATATGAACCCAGAAAGTTTGCTGGACTAACCAACCAAATTTAAAGTGTTTGCTGCAATACTGTACATAGGGTACAAATTCACAAGTTTGTATACTTTAGCAAAAAATGTTATCAAAATAATTTATTTCTTATGTTAGTAGGAAGCCAATAATGTAAACAAGGGGTCAGAACTATCACAAATTCTTAGTTTTGGAGTATCTGACACAGACAGGCTTCCATTTTTTAGGATCACAGGATTTTCCTTTGGGTATTGCATACTTTGGTGTGCAGTAGTGCTCTGTCTTGATGTACAGTAAGGAACTAGCTAGCACTAAGAACAGGGACCCAACAAATTATAACACCAACACACAAACACCTCTAAAATAATACATATTAATGTACAAAGCTGTGTGAACTCGCCCTAGCACCATTTATTGAAGTGAAAATGTTTCATCTCTGTGCCTGGGATTTTACTTGAAACAATCCTTATTGAATTGAACACTTTTTAAATTAAAAATAAATTTGCTTTAATCCACTGATTATAGATTATTCTTGCTAATTAAATCTTGTGTTAGGCCCAATGCAATACTTGGTATTTACATATAATTTTAAATGCACTTCTAAAAACCTTTGGTGATGACTGCATAATTTAGAATGCATCAACTTTTAAATTGACTCCTGCTTTACTGAGGAACGTTCCTAAGGGGAAGCAGAGGAGTTGGGGGCAGCAACGTCTTGTCACGATGCGTGCACCAGGCCTGGCCCGGCGCCAGGGCAGCGGCCACGCAGGCGCACGGACAGCGCCTGCCGCCACCGGCGCTTCCATTTCCCCCACTCGTCTCCACCACAAAGGGGGGTTCACAAATCCCTGGTCATGCTGGCACTTTACCTATGGTAGAAAAAGAGGGGCTGCTTCCCTTTGCCCCAGTGAAGTCCAAGTGAAAGGAGGATGCTCAGCACGTCACTGCCGAGAGGGCATCAACATGCAGAGAGCTCAGGTCCCCCTGCTCCTTGTTTCCCTACCAAACTTCGGGGCACTTGATCTTGAACAGAACTAGCCACAGCACTGTACATCAGCGTGTCCACAGGTGGGATCTGAGCTCTGGGCCTGCTCCTAGGGAAAAGGCCGAGCTCCCGGGGTGAAGCACAGGGAAGTGAAGCCCCAGGTGAGGTGCTCGAGCCCAGCAGGGCTCGCGCCTGCAGAAGAGGCCTCAGAGCGGGGCCAGGCGCAACGAGCACCCCAAGTGCCAGTGCAGCAGTACCGTGTGGATCAGCACAAACAAAATCTAACCAACACTGAGATCTCTAGTCAACAGGAGAAACAGAAGATCACCAAGACACTTAAATGAAAATCTCCATTCAGCTACAAATCTGATTCTCTCTTCCTTGACTAAATCTAGGGGGTCTCCCCCTTCATGAGTTCATGACCTCTCATTCAAAGAACACAGACAGGGAAATGTTTTCTGCTCTGCTTTCAGCTGCATAAGCATCAATTTACAGGAGCAAATCAATTTTATCTAAGTTTAAGGGATGGCACCATAAGCATCCTCAGTGCTTCTGAGTGTAAAAGCTTGTCTGCAAGTCCTCTTCACAGGATCAGGGCCATGGCTGGTTAAGAACCCCTCTCTTTTCTCTATTCCCATCATGAGAGATAAGATGCCATGCTGGCAAACCAAAGAGATTTTTTTCTCTCTTTTTTTTTTTTTTTGGTTTAAGTGAGCAAGCAAGGTAGAAATCTAAATGCCTTTTTTTTTTCAGGATGGAAGAGCTAAGGACTTCTAATAATAATTAGATCATCAATTCTATCAAATCACTTACAAAAATGGAATTCAGGCTCCTCAAACAATATGCACTTTTAGAAGACTTTTTACCGAAAGAGGGCTCACGTGTCTTACTCTGTATCTGTAAAGTGCCTGGCAGCATTATGGCTCTATACAAAACATTTTTAGTTCAACCACATACATATTCTAATATTTTAATAATCTTTTCTTTGAGAGAAAGGATGAGTGAGAAAGGGCTCAATCTACTAGAACACACAGAGAAAAGGACATCTTCCTACACCTCAGAAAACAGTGGACTTAAATGAATCTTTAAAAATACTATTTTATTGAGCTCCAGTAGCTCTTTTATTTAAAAATGAGGGAAAATATCATGCTCCTTCTCTATCTTTGATAAATAATTAAAATAGGGTATTAGGTCTCGATTAAATTTCAGTGCTCAAAATCTTTCTCCATAAATTTTACCTAATATATTGACATTGAAATGAGAACTAAAATATCAAGTGTGATGTCCTGAACATTAATGGATAAAGCAACTACATAGATTTGCTTCTCTTAAATAAGAAATTTAGTGCATCTTTCTTTCTTTTCTTGATCATTGTTCCTGTTAATTTTTCCTATCTCTGTGCTTGCTAGAGAAGTAAATGGCACTGGTACTACAGAGACTTCCCAGTTCCCCCCTGCACAGTACCCAAAATCGCCACATGTTGATCGAGCACTTGCGTGTCGCAGTGCACTTGCATCCACTCCCCATCCGCTGCCCTTCTGTAAGCACCCTGCATTGCAGACCTGAATGCCCAAGGTCTGTAAGAATTATCTGCTAAGAAATAACAAGCAACACAAAGTATGGAAAGCCTAGTAACGAGCTGGACTTGCAGCCTTCCTAAAGCCTCAGCTATAGGTGTCAATGCCGGCTCGCTGTTAAACCACTCCGTTATTTGCTACGGTAAGAAACAGTGTGTGGGAACACTATAAAATTCTAATGTTAATACTGGCTCTTTGATAGCCCATCATCTTCAGAGATCTATTTAAAATTGGTAAGACTGCCTTTTCCCTGCTGAAGAGTGAGCAACTGGTACAGCAAACTTTTTTTTTTCTTTTAAAATGCCACAATACATAGCAAGTGTTTCTGCTGCAGGAGGCACTTCCATTAAGACAAATACAATACGTCTGTCTTTTAGATACAGTGTGCTACATACATACTATAAAACAAAATTAACCCAACATTTCAACAGCAGGATGATCCTTACTCTCCATCCACTCAAAACCGGATGCAGTCATTGAGTTAATGGATTCATTGCAGATTTGTTGAAACAAGGGGTCATTTTTTAATTCCTCCAGTGTAGCATCATCGTCTTGTCCCTGCTGACGACCTGGATCAAACAGTAGGTTTGTATCTAAAGTGTTCAGATCATTAATGCTGCCTGAGAGGTCGGAAGACAACCTGATGTCGCTGGAAAAGACAGATGCAACGTTATTGAGATCTGATGCCACCTGATTCACCAGCTGCTGGTTGGTTGGCAGACTGTCCTCCCCTAAAAGGTCTTTTACAGTGCTGCTGAAATCTAACTGCTGCTCTCCAATGTCTGATTGTGCTTGGTTATCTCCAGAAGAAAAACTGATCTGATCGGTGCTGCTGTTTTTCGTGAGGTAATTTGGTGTTTGGAATTCATAAACTGAAGTGCTGGAATTGATCATATTTTGTGGGTTGGCACTAGGAAAAGCAGTGGATGTTTCTAAAATCTGAGTGAGATTCATCCTGGCTGTGTAATTCGAGGGCATGTTATTCATTCCCAAACCTCTCACTGCATCATCGCTATCAGAATCAAGTTTGTTTAACAACACATTGGTTATTTTTTTAGTGTTTGTTTGTTTCTGAAGAGACGGAAAGGCCGTCTGCATCATCACAGTCAATGGGACTGACTGGCTTCTTTGAGCTATGTTATTGGCACTGGTGTCTGCAGGGATATTAGTAAATACATTGTGAACTTCGGGAGTCACGGGACTTCCAAACGGTGTCACGTTAGAGCGTGGTATATTTGAGACAGGGTAGACAGTGCTGCCACTGAGGTTACGCTGGCGATGGACAGCGGGGCTCACGCTCCGGCACCGCAGGCTGTTGTTGAGAGAGGATCCAGCTCCTTTGCTGTCCAGAGGAGCAGGAACGGCAAAGCCCTCTTGCTTGGCAGTGCTGCTGGCAGGGGCTGCCTGGTGCTGCACAGGCGACACAGGAGTCACACGGCCAAAGTGAGGATCATGGTGCCGCGGCTGAGCCTGGTATGACTGGCCGGGAACTGCAAAAGCATGAGGCTTCCTGAAACGGTCTTCCACTAGCTCCTGATAGCTCGTGAGAATGCCATGGTTTGCAACCGAAGAGTTACTGACACCGCTGTACCCGTTGTTCATCCACTCAAGCTTGGTTTTGTCGGGGTGGGTGGCCATAGGCCGCTGCATCGGCTTCACGGGGCTGCTCGAAATGATGCTCGCGTCGTGGTAGGCCATGCTGGAGCTTATGGGAGTGAAGGCAAAGGGGTTTCGGCACTCCACGGGGCTCGGGGGCACGCTGCTGCTGCAGTTGGAGTGCGGCGTGCCAATGGGCGTGTGGCGGCTGCTGCCCAGCGCGCTGTCCACCGGAGTCGTCTGGGCCAGCCGGGAACACGGGCTCTCCCGCGACACGTTCTGGTAGAAGTGCGCACTGCTTGGATGAGATGACACGGGAGCTCCCGGAGCTGCTGGCTGAGTCTGAAGTGCCATTCCTAGACAGCCACTGTAAGGATGAGAATTACTCAAGGACATCTGCTCTTCCATTAGCACCAGCTCCTCCACAATGCTGTCCTGGGTAAGGTCATCGTCAAACGAAAAGAAGTTTTCATTCGACTGAGGGACCGCGTGTTCAAACTCCTTCAGCTCCGACTGCAGAGGTAACTGATTTGAAGACTGTGCTTGGATCTGCCCCAGGGAGGAGTCCTGGATCTGGCTCTGCAACTGCTGGCTGTACACATCTGCCTGGATCCCTTCGCAGTGCACTGGCTCCCAGGCGGACTCAGGTAAGTCACTGGAGCCAGGATGAGCTGCCATAGCCATAACACTGATATCTTGCTGCTGTTCACAATTCACAGATGCAAAGTCAGAAGTTTTGGTGATATGGTGCCATGTATTTGGGTTAAAGCTGCCATCAGATTTTGAATCATCTTCTATGATAAACATGTTTCCTTCCAACTTTACTTTTATATCTGGAGACGCTGCTGCTATAAGCTGCTGTTCTAAAGTAGCATCACTGGTATTTACACTGGTATTCAAAGAACAGTCTGCCACCAAGTTTGCTGAAGCTGCAGAATTTACATCGCTGGGAACTTGAGCAAGTGTCGCAGTATTGTCACTGTTCACTAATGATACAACCTGCGGAGCTTTCTTAACACTGTTGGCTTTTTGACCCTCCACAGCATTACCAGCTGAAAGCTGCCCCACCAGTGGTTTCTTTACAGGTGGTACCTGGGAATCCTGAAGTGTAGAAGGCTGTCGCTTCCTGGGACTTTTAGTGCACGTTTTGTCTTTATTTGCAGAGTCACCAGTAGGAGGTGAACTGATGCTGGTGCTGGACAAGTTTTGATTGGCAACTGACAGCGTTACAGTGCTTTGATTATTGCCTGCTGAAGAAACTGGTGTGATCTCATTAGACTGTGTTTTGTATTTGGTCCTTGCTTCTTCAGCTCCCTGATCACAGCCCTTAGCTGTTTTTGCCTCCACAACACCATCAGCTGAAACTTTCAAGGTTGCAACCTCAAAATTGATCTGTTGAGCAGCAGGCAGGCCAGGGGCTCCCTTTACGGATTTAGATGCATCAGAGCTCTCTTGGCCCTGCACTGGGTTCTCATCCAGCAACGCTTCTGGTTCCAGTTTGATCTTGACTGCAGACGTAGCTACCACAGTGCTAGGCTTGGAACCTGGAGACTGAAGTGAAACAACAGATCCATTTTTGATCTGAGGAGCAGTCCTCACTTCTTCTGCTGCTCCTGCGCTGCTGTTAACAGAAGGCGTCTGTTTGACAGGCACACTACTGCTGCTTGGAGCTAGAGATATTGCTGTCATTTTCACCACGTTTAAGGAATTCACATGTTGAGCTGGCACAACAGTCTTGATTGGGCTACTGGAGAAGAGCAACGTGGTGGGAGAGCGGATGGTGAGAGCACTGGTGTTTGCTGGCTTCGGTAAGATCTGTGGGTAGCGATGTCGGGCAGAGCGGTCACCAACCGGACTGGCTGGAACGTTCTGGGGAGTCTTTGGTGACTGTTTGACTGACTGCATGTGCTGAGTGACCACCTGAACATTGAGAGGCAGCACCTTGCTATCAGATGATCCTATAGGACTTGGAGATGTCACCAACTGCCTGGTCCTTGGCACCTGTTTAGTGAGAAAAAGAATGTTGAAGAAAGCCCCCAAATCCCATGGGCAATCACGTCCCAAAGCACTTCAAAGATGAAGGCCAACAGTTCCAACCTACTGAACAATCACTTCATATCAAAATCAGCTCTTCAACTTATGCACAAACAATTGCGTATTTGGCTGCCTAGCACTGGTGGACAGATACATGACCTCAACTTTTAAGGCAGTGGTCTATATACAACTCTGATCTTCTACAGGACCTTAAAGAAAGGGTCACTCACATGCAGTCCTTCAGCACATGTAAGGAAATGACATAAAAAGGATAAAGAGGAGAGGATGTGTTCAAAACACTGACCATTTTTAAGAGGTCTAGAGTGTGTTAAATGCAAACCCAGTATCAGGCAGAGAAACAGGCTTACTACTAAGAACAGCAACATAGTTAACACCTTATGAGTAGTTAACATCTTCCCCTGCTGCCTCACTTTTGTATGGTTGAAAGACAAGGATAGTCTTTCAAATATAAGGATATTAGATATCTGTGCAAAAATGAAACTGTTCATGTCACTAAATCCACTGGAGCAATGAAAGTCCATTTAGAGCCCGTATTAGGGGCTCAGTGACCTACACGGCTTGTGCTGGCTTTCCTGTCTGGTTACACTTCACGTCAAGGGTAATTATTCCAATATATAAATTAAATTACTGACAGCTTACCTCAAATTACTGACACTCACCTCAAAGAGGAACTTGGCTTATTCTACCTAATTACAATTTTACTGATACCGTCACAAACTCGATAGTACTGGTATTCTCACGGTACAACAAAGTCACTGGGACAGAAAAACGTCAGTGCACACAAGTCTTTGATAACTGAAGGAAATCATTTTTCTCTCCCACTGACATCACTGCTTAGTTCCTGGCAATTTACAATCCATCCTTTCATGGGTTGTTTTCAGTAGGGAAGCACTGCAGAACATTACCGGTATCGGGCTGGGGACAGCTGCCACAACGATGCCAATGGGCTGAGGAGACAGGATAGCAGGGCTTCCATTGGAGAGGGTGGCCACGCCATTGGTTGCAGGGCCTTCTGTTTTCTTTGCTGGAGACTCCCCTGGCAAAGGAGACTGCAGCTTCTGCTCCTGCTGCTTCTTCTGGATCTTACGCTGCAGCTGCTGCTTGGCATCGACAGGAGATGACAGAGTTTTCACTTGTGGTTGAAAGGAATTACTTTCAGCAGTAGGTACAAAAGCTGAGGGCTGGGGGATCCCTTTTATTCCTGAACACACACACACAGAAAAAACAGTATTACAATAAAACATACCATGTTTGTTGTGCCATTTCTGCATGTAACCACACATGGCAGGACCTCCACAATCACTCTCAGACTACCTCACCCAGGAAGACATTTCATATTCAAATCTGTTCACTGCTTTAGTTTATTTAAAACATTCTGGCAAAATCTCTACTGTGACATTAGCAGATAAATATTGTGTATTGGCATCTTGTGTCTAGTAATCCCAAACTGCATCTTTTGTACTATCAAAATCTAAAAACAATGCATTTCATTAAACTGACAGTAGAGGGCAGTGGCTATGAGACTTTAAAATTCATCTTCTATCATATTTTTGTTTTGTTATCAATATTTAAAGCACTTTTAAAATAAAATCTTTGCAAAAAGCTGTCAATCTGTGCCATAGATGTGCAGTTCTGAGCAGATTATATTAGCTCATGATCAGTGTGTTAAATATAACACATTATTATGTCAGAATGGATCACCACCAGTGTGTGATCAGGGATAATGCCAAAAGGGTAAGAAATGAAACAACAAGGGCGGAAGGAGAAGCAGGAGAAGGCAAAAAGCAACATAGAAAATATGATGAGAAAAATTTTTTTCTGAAGACGATGCTTTCGCTGATCATGCACAAGCAAAGATGCTGCTAGGAAGAGCAAGGAGGAGCAAAGTCATTGGTATAGCTGGTACCAATCTCTGTTACTAAATCACATCACAACTATGATCTTTCATTTATTACCAGTCAAGAGATTAATACATTCCCTCCACGAACACTCAGCCCTGTAAAACTCCCCATCAAGAAGTTTTAACACTGTTTCTTCTATACTTCATAGGTTTCTCAGTTTTTAAGACAACTCTTAACTACAAATTAATCATCACCAGCCTCTCAGCAGCTGCCTACATGTACCATGACAGCTCTAATACTGCAGCATGTCTCCACTTTCTGCTTTCAATTCCCTTTTCAAAGAATCATTGAAATACCCAAATACATTTCAGGACCTGGAAAATAACGAGCACGCTGTGTGGGCTAAATACTGAAGGCAAATAACATTATGAGGATACTCTCCCTGCCCTTTTTACCCTACTTGAGGGTAAAACTTTTTCTCTTACTGCACACACACCTAGTTCCTTGTGAGAAAAGGCAATGGGGATATTTTATTTGCTCCTGCAGCACACAGCAATAAAAGAACCTGTCCTGACCATCCAAGCCCCAGAGACACACAGGAAAAATAAATGCCCATTTTCTCAGAACACCACCTTTTCTCAGAGGAAGCAAGGGTATGGAGGAGCTCCACGAGCCAGAGCTAACCGCATACATGTGTCCCCTTCCTTGCAGCAGCATGGCTAGCAGAGCTGATAAAGCCAAGCAATGACATGTAAAGAAAAGAGTGTACAGACAGCAAAGCCTTGCACTAAGTTTAAAATTGTAATAAAGACAGCCAGAAGGAGAAAGGACAGTGGTGAGGGAAGGGGATTGCCAGAACCCACAGCCCTGACAATCTGCTTCCATTTGAAACTGCCCTTTCTGAAGGTAAGAGATTTGCTTTGGTTCAAACACATTTCCCTCAGCAGATGTGGGGGAGAACCCCCTGGGGAGAGCGTGAGGAACCTATACTTCCCTCTTCAGCCCTCACCTACAACCAGAGAAACTTCAGATGCTTCAGTGACTGAAGAGGGAGACAGAGAATACAGACGTAGATATACCAACAACCACATCAAATAGAACCTTTTCTAGCGACTGAGTACTGAAGGAATTCATCTGGCAGAACCAAATAAAAAACAGCTCTTTTCTTCACTTAACGAGGGCGTGAAATTGTGCAGGAATCCCAGTCACACAAGTGCCCCAGACAACGTTCTCCTGTTCCTCTCAATGCCCTCAGACCCTTATTTTTAGCGTGGCCAATAACAACACTGGCCTAGTTGTACTACCTGACACAGATCAAACATCTCAGGAAAATTTGCATCTGACATATCAAAAACGCCTGTAAGAAAATCTACTCTTGAGAGAAAATTAAGACAGACAATTGTTTCCATATTAGGGCAAGTTATCAGACGGAAACACAGCTATACCAGTGTACGCCTACAAACCCCCACGCTATTGGCACCAAAATCCAGATTTAGCAAAGTGCTTGAAATTCAGTGCCATTACTCATGTGCTTTAAGTTAATCATGCCTTGAAGCGTCTTACAAGATCAAGGCCCTCACTGGTGGCATCACAGGAGACCACGGACTCGGTCGGGAAGGACAGGTATCTTCCCTCCAACAACAGCCCTTGGGCCTGCGGCCGCCTCTCTGGAGCTGCCACAACCGGCGCCTGCGCTACCCGCGTGGCCTTCAGCTCTGCGCACGCGGATCCATGGGGCCAGCACGGACTGGAAGACCCGCAACATCCTGACCGTTCCCACTCATGGATCAACTCCTCTCCTTCCACACACCATGAACTAGAAAACCCATTTGTCCAAGAGCACTCTCAATTATGCCGTTAATAGTTTCCTTAACTTCCTCGATTCCATTTCCCTATTGTTAAGGTTTATACTGACCTCTAAGAACTTCTGGAAAAGTAATCAGGTCTCCAAAGTCCTCTCACTGATCACCCCCCAGATAACCTACAGCTCGCACTGGCTATGATCAGGTGCTCACCTCAAGGCCAACTGAGAATTCCCTCTCCCTGTTTCCTTTCCGCTTCTCCTCTCTAAAGGTAGCAAGTACCTCTTGAGATGCAGTTATGTTTTGCTAGACATTCCTACGGCTAGTCCTTCCCAAATGAACAGCAACACTAAAAATCCAAACTGCCGCAAAAAACTGTCAAACACGACAGTGATGTAGCAAACTACCTTCAGAGTCTGAAAGGCTAATGCCACAGACCAGATCTCAGACCATAGCATATTTTCATCTCCTGCTTCTAGACTTCCACAGAGAAAAGTAACTTGCAGCAGCTTGGACTAAAAAAATCTCTTAAATCCATGTTCAAGGGTCAAACCCAGCCTGTCCTGAAAGGAGGTGCTTACTCAAACTGATATATTACTCATGTCACTACAAGCAACTGAACTATCACCCTTTATTTCATCTAACACTCACAGGGAAGGACTGAAATGTCACTGCCTGCAGTGGGATACACTGCCACACAGGGCAGGGACAAAAGCGGCACCTACCCTCAGTCGTCCCGGGCTGCCCACTCGCTTCGCTCCTCTCTTTCCTCGACATACTCAGATTCGATGTTAAAAAAAATCCCTCTTACATAAAATGCATTCCTTCTTTTAAAGATTCCCCCTTGCACAGATTCAGAATTAAGGTAACTCATTACCTGCTGGTGCCCCTGCCATTACTGTTAAAGCTGCCATTGACTTGGTACCGATATAGTGACTTTTTACAAGGAAACGAGCCAACTCCAAGACGGTATCAAAAGGCTGGCTTAGCACTTTCTGGGCCCATTCACAAACAAGCCGGCAGGCCGCGGAGACAACCTCCTCATCAGCACTTTGTAGCTGCCCAGATGGCTCTGTCCCATCCAACTAAACAAAGAAAAAGGAAAGGTTATTTATATTAAAAATTACTAACAACTAAAAACAACACGAATACAGAACAAATGATGATAAAAATGACACAAAGCACTAAGTACATACATTCTTTTTCATGAAATGGGAGAAAAGAACCATAACCAATATGATTCAAAATCAAAATGATTGAACTTTATAATGTTTCCAAGAGCAATATATGAAGCTAACATTTCTGGAAGAAAACTGCAAAGAGAATCCTAACACTCAGACCACCTACAGTTGATGCCTTCTGCATCCCAGTCAACTTACCAGGCATTCTCATCCAAGAACTGTTTCTATCACTGGGGTTCCAACAGTGATATTTTTAAAAATATATACAGTAAAAATAAAACAAGGAATTATCGTTTAAAAGAAATTTGTGGGTAGCACCACTGTGCAAATCTCCTTCATATCCCTTTTTTTTTTTTTTGTGAAAAGCACTCTTTATTTCAGAGCTTTAAATTAAAAAAAAGATCAACCGAGATTTGTTTTAGAGTATGAGAGCATTGTAAAGAAAAATCTTATTAAAAGTTACGTAGCTCTTCATTCTGTTTTGGAAATTTTAGACGGACGGTAAAAATAACTTAGGAAATGTAAATTTGCAAAATAAATAAATAAATAAGCAAATGTATACCATACCCCATCTCCAGTTTTATGAAAGTCAAGGTTGGGCAGTGTTGGCATATGCACAAAAGCCTTCTTCCTCAGTCCACTGTAGCAATATGTGATCAAAAATTAAGGTCTAAATTGTCTCGGCTTGTTACTTTGGGCAGAAATAAAACAGCTTTAAGTCTCTCCCCTCTCACCATGAACTTGATGAAAACGTAGCATGAGATGAAAAACGCCATCATTTTCAAAAGTGAATCAATCCATAAAAAAATTGTGCCCGATTTCTAGCCTGTATTTAATTTTTACTTCCAGTTTTAGTTCTTATTTTGCCTGTTTGCTAAATTTTAAGAAGTAACCGGCGCTTCCCTCTCATAAAGCACTTGAACAAACTGCAGAAGTTGCCTTATAATGAGATAAAAGTGGATGAACTTCTCTCAAAGGAAGTCATTTTCTTCCTAAGATTTCATACATTTTTTTGTGGACCTCTCCTCATCTATGAGGATTCTTTAAAAATACGGGACACAAAAAGAAAGATTTATTCTTAGATCATTCTCATCAAAACTGTATTTCCTATTTTACTATTTCCTATTTCACATGTTGACACATGTAAGTCAAATTAGCCATTTTTTTTCCTGTCCTTAGCATTTCTTTAAGAATTCACATACCGCTTGTTCTCTATGACCTCAAATCCTTTCCAGAATTAATAGTTTTTCACTGTAAACATGGTCTTTATTTCTCTTTATTATACAGTGGATCTTGCATTTACTTACCATATGCATTTGCATATGGATGGAGTGTAATTGCAGTGGCTTAAATATCTTAACACCTAGCCCCTTAGAAGTGCAAAATAAGGTCACATTTTAATCATCCTGAATTAGACACTGAGGGAACAGAACTGAAAGAGACACCCTGGGCTAAGCTATAATTACATCGTGATTTCTGCCTTCCTTATGACTACGCTACAATTTCTCCAGGCAAACGCAGAAGAAATGACTGAGAAGAGTTCAAGCAAAGGATATTTTGATTTGCCTCTTGTGCCTAAACGGCGAGCCTTCATATTTGGAAAGACATTTTTCATGATCTTTCCAAAATCAGCAGCACTTAAGGGGTGGTAGCCAAGATTGTCACAATAGCTCCTGCAACAGAGAAAATAGTGAATGGAAGCAGAGTCAACACAAAAGACCAGCCTACACGGTGGGCTCCATCAAAAGTTTTTAGAAGAAAACACTCATATCCATCCATATTTAGAACTACATTTAACATTAATGAAGCTATCCACAATGAATCAAATACATTAAAAATGTATAAACAGAGCTATTAATACCAAGGTTTTTCCCTTCTTCTCTTCTGAGTTCAAAGGCAAGTCATGGGGAGATTTAACAAGCAGGGGCATCATCCAGAGCACACAGATTTACTCCACAACTTACTTTGAAGCTTACATTTCAATTCATTTATCTTAGGATATAAGAAAGCAGCAACATCCTCTAGGCAGCAGCATGATTCGTGTGGGGCAAGGCCTGGCATCCTGCACGGCTATTTGAAAAGCAGTAGGGGAGAGATTTGCCTGCCCGTACAGACAGACATTTGGCCTAGACAACGTCAGTGCCATGGAGCACGGCCTCCCAGGGCACCAACTCTGCCTTTGTAAGGTACAACACAAGCAGGCAGCGAGGCCCTGGCCCTCTTACCAGGGCACAGGCAACTATTCGCCCATTTTGAACTGCGCAACTTGAAGCAGATGCCAACCTGACAGAGATATCCTTAGAGTCAGTTCTGCATGAGCAGAGAGCAATTTGGCGAGGGCGGCTGCAAACATAAACCTGCTAATCTTTGCACTCCGGAGGATATTTCCTGAGAACACAACACAGAAAAAACAATTGAAGGTGAGCATTTTTCTAAAAGTGGACGTAGTTATCTGTCTTCAGCTCTCAAGAGCAGCAGAAGGAATTTTGTTTCAACATCTGAGATGTTTTAAAACTACCTCCTTGAGGCAGACAGCAAGAATTGCTAATTTCACTGCAAAATATGAACATTCTGGAAAATTACAACCCCATGAAAGCACAAGAGAAAAATGGAAGCTGCTCAGGAACTCTTACCTATGTATCAAGCGCTCAAGGCATCATAAAGATATGAACACTACTACATGCTGCCTTTTATTCAAGACCCTGTGGTATTTAACAGATTTTAATGAGCTACACCCCAAAACATATCCCTAAAGCATTTGCCTTCGGATTTCCATGACGTGCCCAAGGTCATGGAATCAGCACCAGGCAGCAATGACCTCCTTTCCTGGAAAAATTCCTACCAGAAATACATAAAAGCAACCTGTCTCTGAAAAAAAGGAGACGATTGTATGCAGCTCTGCACGGCCTCATAGCAGGGGAGCATTACCTCATCCACCACCTGCCTGCTGCTCTAACCACGTGTGTTTATGCAGACAAACTTCTGCTCAGAGAGACAGATGGAGCATCCCTGAAACAGAAGTTCCATTCCCATGATCACCTACTAAAACCATAACAATTAATAATGACATTTGCTGAAAAGACTGATGTAGGCTGCAAGGCTTTTCATCCAAGTAGACTGAAGGGACCAAAAACTCAGCTCTGTATAGCACAGTATAGGTGTAGTTCTTGAGACACTATAATGTTTTTTTTTTTTTTTTTCCTGACAAAACCCTAGTTACTACAGAGTAAGTATCCAGTGCTCTTATCCTTGCTGGAAGTAGGTATCCCTCGTGCAGAAGGCACCACCTCAAAAGTCAGGCTGTTGGATGATAAACAGCAAGGTTTATGGTATTTGGTCCTAATGCTCCCCTGGAGAGCTCATCTGCACCCATTTGCTTCAGCTCCTGGGCTACATTTTTCAAACCCGGAGATGTCACCTGCAGACCTGTATACAGACCCCCCATTATCTATGAGGCTGAAAAAAAAAGGCTTTTGTTTCTCCTTCCAAAAGGCAATGAAAATATGAATGTAATGCAATTCTGATACTTTCAGCCCACTCTTGTGAGAAGACTTTCACCCTTTTTACTTGACAAAGTCAGAAATGAAACAGAGAAAGCAGGAAAAAGAAAAAAAAAGGAAAAAAATGAAAAAAGGGCATACAGAACACGAGAGTTGACCATGTGAGGGGGAGCCCATGGAAGTTCCATCACTGGAGACGCAGCATCCCAGCTTCCCTCAGGTGGGAAGGCACCTCAGGAGGGCTCCAGCTTTACCCAGGGCTTTACCCAGCCATGTCTTGTAAGCAAGGATGGAGATTTCACATGCATCCCATTCCAATGCTTAATTATCCATCTTCATACATGGACTGGATGTGGCCCTGAGTAACCTACTGGCACTCTGAAGCTGCCTTTGCTGTGGGCAAGGTGCTGGACCAGGTAATCTCCACCTGTCCTTTCCTACTTGAACTGTTTTGTGTGATTCTATACAGGACCTCCAGAAAGGTCATGAATATATATATATATATATTTTTTTTACTAATTTGCATACCAAATTTCAATAAAGTGAATGTCAGTCACAGTATCTGGATATGTCCCTTTGAAGGGATGGATATGTCTCCAGCTTCACTGCATTCTCTTAAGAACTGAACTGTTTCAGTTATAACGTTGTTCTAGACAGTTGTCTATTTGCTTTTTGTTGTGGCCTCTTAGCACTGAATTTTATATTTACACTTTGAAGATTCTTAAAATGTAGGACACTGTCACTTGGTCATGCTGATTACATGATATTAAGTCTCAACTTCAAGCAAGGAGAGGTGCTCTTTCCTATCATCAGCAATATTGCTGACTGAAAAATATAATATAGTAAACACCAGGATTAGGAAAGTATTAATCAGTTTTAAAGTGAAAAGTATTCTCTACACAGGAGAAAATGAATAAACAGGAGAAAAAAAATAGCTCCTCGAGTCTAGCACATCTGTTTCAGGACGATTATTTGCTAGCAGCAGCAGCAGTTACACAGTCCCCTTGTATCCATGCTGGCAGCTCCTGCAAGCTTGTGATTTCTAAGCTATTATTATTATTATCATGTAATTTCAGTTTTCAGACAGATCATTGCACATGGTCCCTCCTCCTCCTGGCTCAGCCGAGATCCCTCCGTGTCCATCTGGGCTCTGTTATTGACTTGACAACACGGAGGGGAGTCTCTGGCCCGCAGCTCTTCCCGCTGCTGCTCGTGCTCCTGGCACACGGCTGCGCCCCGGAGCGCTGCTGCCCATTCCAGGGTGCTGGGAAGCGGAGCGGGAGGGAAGCTCCCACCCCGGGCAGGAGCCACAGCGGACACACGGCTGCTTGCGTTCCTTTGCACAGTAGATTTGGCAACGAAAGCACTCTTTTTTTGGTGAGATCTTCAGAGTAAACATATTCTAGACATAAAATACAATGAGAGTAGCCTTGAACTAAATGACCCAAAAGATTACCTAAAAGCCAGCGAAGACCATCAGCCTCTATAGCCCAGATTAAACAGCTTCCTGGGCAATGAACTGGATAAAATGGAGATAACAGACTGTATTGAAACAGAAGGGCCAGAGAAAAGCTACAGACACAGTGCCTCCAAAAAATCTGTCCTGCTACTGATCTTGCTTAATGCTGTATTAAATGATGTCATCAGACAAAAGCAGCAAAATCATCTCATTCTGCAATGTTAGGAGGCATCATTAATACAGAAAGCTGTTACAAAAAGCTGAAAAGGGATAGAAAAGGATGAAGAAATAGAAAAAGAATTTTCTGATTTTTAATTAAATAGTTCAAAATACAAAATAACACATAGGAGAATTTTCAAGAGTTGTTGCTGTTAAGCAGGCACTCATCAAACCAACACAACAAAAGAGAAAATGGATTTATCAGTTATCCTGTTATCAATTATGATCTATCTACAGCAGCTGATAAAAAGGTGGATACAATCTCAGAGCAAGAGCAGCAGAATTTGAGGCAGACATAGTATTATTGTCGCTGTAAGTACAAGCAAAATCTCACACAGAATGTTGCATGCATTCTGTCATATTTGAGCAAGATTAATTCAACACAAGACAGGTATAAAAACACTATTGAGAATAACAATTGATAAAGAGCCTATTACATGAGACGAACCAAAGACCTTGGCTTAAACAAACCAGCAAAACCACTGGGCTCTAAAAATGGATTAGAGTGAAGAACCTCAGGAAGAGCTTGGCTCTCTAAGCAAAAGCACAATGCTGGCACCTGAAACAAATTCTTCAAATGAGGTAGGATGGAAACTAGAAGGTTTTAAACCATCAGAGAGATAAAATTTAGGCCAGATTTTCAAAAGCAGCAGTGGAGGTGAGAAACGACTGCTTTAGACTGAATTTGATCAGCTTCTAAAGAGAACATATAGGCAGTTCCTCATGATCGAAAACTTGATGAAGCTGTAAGTTCCACACTGCTCCTCTCAGGGAGTATTATGCAAAGCACTGCTTAGGTGTTACTGAACAAAATTAGTGCATGCAACCTATACACCAAGTGGCAGGCCCAGCAGCCAGCAAAGCAAGAATTAACGATTTCCACACTAGAAGAAATAGATACAGGCTGTCTCAAAGACCTCCCAATCTGCACTTAAGTCTATCAAGTGAATCTTCAGGCACCAAACAAATACGAACCATCTGATTTTCATTGCTTGAGCCACTGCTGTAAAGCAAAAAGAGGACACAAATGTTTACTCAAATTATTTTGTGGGTAAACTGGGGTTTTGTCTGCATGAATGCCACAGGAGCACACTCGGACTCTAAATGCTACTTCTTCTGAGTTTGGCTTGAACTACACCTGAATTCCTGTGAAAGGGTTTTTATTAATAGAGAGAAGATGCCTCTTTGTAAGACTGGCTTGTACAAAAGGAGGGAAGAATTTGATGGGCAGAAGCATCTGCCTGCCATATTACATGCTAAGCAGCTCCCCATGAGTCCCCATAATATTTTCCAATCTGTATTCCCCCATAAAGCCAAAAGTCAACAGAAGAAATGTCTGTCCACTATAGAAATAAATCTTATGGCACAATTTCCTCTGCCAGCGTAAACAGCATCATAAAGCCAGCAGGAAAAGTGAAGTATCTCCCATCTACCTCCCGTCTCAAATTGAGCTGTGATGTCTCTACCTTCCCAAGCATGATCACCTTATCTTACAATACATTTTTCATTTATTTTATCCCTTTAAAAGCAGAACAGATCTATTCACTTTTACCTAGAGATGTGGGCTTACAATTAGAAGAATAATAAAATAGAAAGACTACAGAATGGAAAAAAAGTCACTGTGTTGAATGAATCCAGAGACAAAAGCCTACAGAAATGCAAAGGAGCTGGCAAGGCTATTAACACTTGCCAACACTGGATTTGCGTGGAGTAGGAGCACCTGTCTGTCTCACTTCAGGGCAGTAGAAAAATCACTTCAGAGATGAGGCAAAAGCCCAGTGGTTTTGTAAGATTTATTTTTACTGAAGCAAAAGAATTGAGATGCTGGTACAAAGCAGCACACTTCTGAAGCACTGATTTACGTGCACAATGCATATAATTGCTTACTGGGAGCTCAGACAACATCTATCTTTGCAAGCAGAGAAGAGGAAATGATAACATATAAATGAGACTGAAGCAAGTTTTGGTAGGTCTTAAATCCCCTAGGTAAAGAAAATGATTTATCAAAACTAACTGCCGTATCTATTTATATGCCTCCTCCCCACCTCCTACTCTAAGACTATTCTTCTGGGCAAGAATAACTCATGAAAATATTCAGAGAAACTGAGTGTTTTAAAAACAGAACAGATGCTTTCAAAGGGGAACAGATTCCAAACATTGATATTTTCCTGAAAATTTGCTTACCACCCTTATTTTGTTAGAGAAAAATACAATACACAAATACTTGATGCAGCTACATCGAAAAGCCATCCAAATTTCACACTACACAATCTGTAGACGAGGATTTTTTTCCGGGCATCTGCAGCTTGGCACGGCATGGAAGCCAAGCAGATTTGTTGCCGAAGCAGGCCATAAATTATTAAATAAGAAATATATTTAAGAATAAGGCTTCCACTTCGCTCCCGCCCCGCAGCTGCCGCCGCTGTTGCTGTGTGTGCGTGCGCGGCGCTCGCGGCGGGGATTGGCCGGCCCGGCACATCTGCGCCATTGGCTGCGGTTCCCAGCTGCGTCACCGCTCCAGCCGATGGTGACATCTCAGAAATAGGTGTGTGCGTGTTTATCAAACCCAGGCTCGCTAATGCCATCGTGTTTCAGCTCAGACAGAGGGGAAAAAAACCCCTACCAGAGAGAGTTAATTAAAATGAAGTATTTGCACAAGGGAAGCCAGCAGTAACAATTACTAAAAGCTGATTTCTGTGGGCACTTAAGAGGTGAAGGGTCTCTGCTCCCTGCAAATTACTGTAATTGTTCGGATTATGGAAATACTCATACTAGATCACAGATCTGTTATTTACCTTCAGGCAGCTGGGCTATGTTCCCCCCCCTGCTTCCTGCGAGGAACATGCTGTAAATGAATTCAAATCCTGCCTGTCAGATCCTGCCTCTCCCTCGGTTCTAGTTGCTTTCCTTGCTGCACGGTAGCTTTGAGACTCGCAGCACAGACTTGCTGGGGATTGGTTACTGGTGTCATACATATTCAGATATGCTTCACTGTGCTGTACAGGAACCAGAGTTGCCGCAGGAAGGTCCAGCAGTTAGGCATTATTGCAGAGAGAAAGGTATGACGGGTTTGAAATAGCTCCATTCCCAGGAGGAAAATGGAAATTCAACCTTCACCCTTGAAAGGCAGTCTCACACACCCCCACGTGTATGTGTATATACATGCATAAAGCTAGACCAGAACGTATTGTAAGATAACGGATGCTTTTTACCAATATCACTGTTTTTTCACAAAAAAGCATTATTGATATTCATATTTTCTTGCTAAGAAATATTTGTATATGTATTTCAGTGTACACAATGCACAGCTTAAATGGTACAGTCCTGCTCTCAAAGGCAGAAATAATGAATGGGATTCACCTCCCTGCAGTTAGCATTTTCTCAGTTGCATTAGTACTTAAGGACTACTTATTCTACATGCACTTGTACATGTTTATTAACAGAGTATCTGCAGAGCTTGTGTCACAACACTTGTTATAGCCACATGTACAAATTCAGCTTAGGAGCACTCACTTGTATTCATCATAAACCTCCTGTTTGGGAAGCGATGTCTCCGGGTGTTCTTCCAAGGTATTCCGTATCCAAGAAAATGCATGCATTTGCTGCGCACGGCTAGATGACATGGAGATCTGATCACTGGTGAAAGAAGAGAGAGTTTTGGCAGAGTCACTCTATAGCTCCTCCTTGGTTACAAAACTTAAAAATGGACCACCTACATGGATGGAGAGACACCAGAGAGACAAAAGGCCAGTGCCTCACAAATTTAGCTCTTCCTTCATGTATGGGCATGTTACCTTCCATGTTCACCTACAATTTAGCAAAGTGACCCCATATTTTGTCTCTTTGACAGGTGAGAGTTCAGCTATTTCTCTCTTAAAATTATTGTTTCTTACTGACCACCTAAGCTTCTGCCTGCTCAGTCTTCAGAAGCATCTAACCTTCACAGCAGAGCTCACTGTACTTTCAGGCACTTCTCTGCCTATAATTATTCTGGGCTAACTTGGGCATGTTGTGATCTCCAGATTGTCTTTCTAGCTCTTACTTTAACCAAACAAATGTTACCAAAAATATTCTGAATTCTTTCTTTTCCTACCGTCACATTTGTGTTGCTACATTATCACTTCCTACAGAAAAGAAGGAACAATCATGCTTAGGCTGCACAACATTTTATTTGATGAGCATTGCATGGTAGATTTATGTTTACAAACTACTCATGTGGTACAGATTTCAAAGTTTTGATGAAAAACTTTTTAGAAAAGTCCTAAATATTTATTAAAGACTTTCTATCAAACACAGCATATAAATGCATGCTGAATATGTAAGAGCCAAGAAAATTATAAAGACTTCAGAATTAGCTGCTTCCCTTTATGTACACACACAAAAGCACATACATACATACCTTTTGTCTCCATTGTAGGGACCCGAAGGCAGCTGAAGGTAGAGGTAGAGTTTCTCTAGGTCTGTAAACTTCTCAACTTCTTGCTAGATGACAAAAATGTTTTGTTAAAAAAAAAAAAAAAAAAAAAAAAAAAAAAAAAAAAAAGGTTGGGTGCAACCAAACAGTAAAAGATGAGCTGGAGAGTTGGAACTTGTCACAGAAACAGTATATTCCAGATAACAGCAATATTTATTGAAGTGAATTTGATTTTTATTTCATTTTCAAATGAAAGTGATCAAACACACTGAAACAAGGCATTTAGTTAACAGAAATCTCTCTGATATTAAATTGCCATGCTATGATACTAGATTCCCACGCTATTTCACTCCCATTCTTCCAAAGTAACCTCATTTCAGATGAGATATGGTGAGAATTTTACCTATTGTAGAGAAATAGTGACTACCACAATGAATTAACAGCTAAATGATCTCAAACATGAAAAAAACCAGTTGTGATAATTTACTTGATCCTCACCAGTTGGTCTCCACGCAGCAAGGAGCAAAGGGACACTCCTTTGAGAAGATGCTGCAGAACCAACACAGCCTTGCCTAAGGGGAAGGAAGAGGGCAGGACTGACGGCCAGCGAGACCTGAATGTCTTCTGCAGCGGTGACCAGCCTCAAGTGAAGGACCTTAATACCTGAACTTCATTTAGAGCCAGGGTCCCCACCGGGCAGAGCCTTTCCAGCCTGCAGCCAGGCCGAGGGCTCTCGCCCGCTGGTGGCCAAGGGAGAGGACAGGGACGGGCTCCCACCTCCTCTCCACGTGCAGCTGCCCTAAGACAGGGGTCCCCTTCCCAACGGCAGCACCAGGAAAACGCGGACTGGGGAAGGAGCGTGGGGAAGGCAGGAGCTTCCTAAGTCCAGCTGACAAACATGGTAATAAAACAGTTTCACACAAGTGGGCTACCAGCAACGTGACAGACGTTCCCAGAGCCAAGAGAAACATTTCCAGCAGCAGCCAGGTAACATTGGCTATGCTTGCTGCTTTTATCAGCTGCGGCAAACCACAACATTTGTGTTGGGTTTTTTTTGTTTGGTTGTTTTTTTTCCCTCTTGACACCCTCCTGAATTTGCTGACACCAATTTGTGTGCGGCTTTTGCAGCAGCTTACACAGCAATGGTGCTTCAACCACCACATATCCAAGGAGGGATTCCTTCATGGAGCATTTTGCAAAATTCTCTCTGCACAAATCACAGCCTTGGGTCTGCCCTTCAATAAACCTGCAACTGGAAACAGTGACAAATTCTTCAATGAAATAACATAAAGGAAATATAACAACAGCAAGAAAATTTGCATTTATTATATCTCCTTTGCTTCACGGAATTTTTAAATGTTAAATGCCAGGGAAGTCTGCCCTCAGACACAGTTCAGGTAAGATAACCTCATAGTGTAAGCGCTAATCCCCAGAGTGACAAAGCCCTGGAAGAGAGCCTCTCAAATCTAATCTTCTACCTTGTAACAGAAAGGGTGAGGATTTGGGGTGAATACTGAGAGGCCGGGGAACATCAAGCCGCTAGCGCCGGCACAAGGCAGGGGCTGGGGCCAGGCCCGGAGGGGGGGCTGTGGCTATGTAGGCCACCCCGGCGAAGCCCCTCACTTGAAAAACAACATATGTCAAGAGAAGAATGTGACTGGGATTACAACAGAGAAACCGTTTTCGACAGTGGAAACTACCCAGCAACTCGCTCGTCAGCAAAACTGCCTCCCCAGAGCTCAGACAGCTCAGGATTATGAATTTTTCACATCTTCGGCACAGAAAGCTGGGTAGTAACTTGGTTTCACTGTTTTTGTCGTAAACCCGCTGCTCTGTTCTAGGCCTTGCCACCAGCAGCACATTCCAGACGACTCCTTTGGCCTTTGTGGGGGCGCCCGAAGGCAAGTGGGACGTTAACAGGCCGCAGGGATCCAGGAAGGTTAACAGGCCGCAGGGATCCAGGAAGGTAATCCTACCTGGGCGATAACTAGATAAACCTAAGCTTATTAGATGAGCCTGAATCTATTTAGATTTATCCATCTTAGAAATGAAGGAGCTGCACCAAAGGGATGGAAGCTGGCAATCGGCACAAATCAGGAAGCAAAACTATTATGCTCCATTTAGGCTATTTTCTCCAAATGTTTCTAAAACTCTCAAAATTAAGTTCACAATCTTAATAAGTATAATTTCTTTTTAGCCTCAGCTGACATCTACCAGTTCTCAATGCCAAGTCTCCAGCAAGCTCAGTAGTAATGATATTACTGAGACTGCTCAAAGTAACAAAACTTGCAGTTTTTTAATGCAGTCATATAAACATTTATAAAGCAGAGAATCACTTCATCTGGCCAACTGACTAGGAATCTCCAACCAAGGGAAAAAGCAAAAGTAAATAACAGTCATAATTAATAATAACAGAAAGTTCTTTCATCCTGAGTTTTCCTTTGTGTCAAGCTTGATTAATATATAAATGAGTAAAAAGAAATAATACTAAATATAAAATTTCATTTTTCTCCTAATAGTCAATGTGAGGCTTCCTGGAAAAAAACATTCCCCTTTGTGTAACCCTTTAAAGTCTATGCAACAATAGTTTTTAAAACCCACAGGGAATGTAAAACATCTGGGGAATCCTTTTCCACTACTTAGAAGGATCTAAGCAAAAACTGTGCTCAAAGTTTCCTGACCTTAATGGACTGACTCTCTTCGTCCAATTAAAGGAAGGGTGTCTAATTCTCTAAAGGTTATTTTTAAACCACGTTTCTTGAGGCTGCATTAGAAAGCTACACAGAGTGCTCAACTGGCTGCAGGACCAAGGTGCAAAGCCCTCACATAGCACCACCTTTGCTATTGTAGGTCTCCATGCATTGTGTTCATCTCTTACAACCTCTAACTGCAATCACATCAAACGAAAGGAGATTCAGTGAACATGTGGAGCAGGCAGTATTCATACTGCAGTTAAAACAGAAGGAAAAAAAATGTCCAATACTCTAAATTAGCTATCTGACACAGAAGAACTCAGGACAAAGAATTAGAAACCCGAACTCACAGATCAGTGAAGACCTTCAAGCAGCCTATCAAGAAGCACATGCCTTGACCGAGTTGGTTGTTTGTTTCATTAGTCACCATTCCACAAAAGAATTGCACAAAATACAGCTCTGTGCAAACAAATTAATCCAGAGACCAATTCATCTTTGCAAGACAGCAGCCACACAGATCTGGTCCAAATGAACCTGTCCTTTTGCTGCCTAAGAAAGTTACAGAACAAGGCTCTCATAGGAACAAAAGCAACTTTTTCATCTAGTTGGCATTGTGTTTGAGCAAATAAAAAGTTGGGAAGAACAGGATGGCCAATTTTTTTTTTAAATGAAAAAGGCAGTTTTTGACATATGGTTCCATTCTGAGTGACAATAACTAGACACTGAAATTTTTCACAGCACATGGGGACAAACGGCAGCCCAGCCCACCATGCTGCTGGGGAATCCATCTGCGCCACAGGAAACACGAGCTCAGTTGTGCTCCGGCTCCGACCTGGAGAACCCAGAGCTGAACCCGAGCCCCCCTGCTGCAGAGCGCTCTGACTGCTGATCTGCTGGCAGCTCTGACTGCTGGGGAAATTCACCCTAAATTTGTCAAAATTAATTACCATGGAAATCTCCAGGGAATGTGCTTTTTCTGAGTTGTTTTAAAGAAGAAAAAAAGCAGACAGGCCATCTGTAAAGCAAGATGAAGAAGGAAACTACTACTGATACAAGGAACGATGAGCAGAGTTAGAGTTTCTTTAATTAGCACAGCAATAAACAGCATTAAATTTGAATGATTTTACATTTCCATAATGAAGGTAGAACTACGAGTTACTTCTGTCTTAGAGTTTTGTTGAAGAGGAGTCAATGGCCAGAGGCACTGCTGCAAGCTCTTTGCAATACTACTATTTTAGAGGAAACAGACTGATCTTCATATTCAGATCTACATTTGGGTATTTATATATAACTACACTCCAACTAAACTCTCAGGCCTGGAAAGTAAACAAGGCTATGCCGATGGCAACGTAACTTGCACCTAGCGGCAGGCTGGTCCTAAACGTTATCATATTTCAGCAGAACAAATATCTATTATTGAACAATCAGACTAAGAATAGCAGAGCAGACAAGCAGATAATCCCCTCGCTTCGAGTAAGGGAAGCAAGATGCTGAGGTTAAATCATTTGCTCAAGGTCAGATGGTTTGTTTGGAGTATAGTCAAGAAGGAAAATAGTTTTAAGATCACTTATATTTTAAACCATTATTATTATTAAAGAAGCTATTATTATTATTATTGAAAGAGAGATGCTAATAAACACATCCAATATGCCATATCTGAACAGAAGCAACGGAAACATGCTTCAGGTGCTAAATGTTCCAAACAATCCCTAAGAATACATGGCACCATTGTACTGACAGAGCACCCAAGTTCAGCCACGGAAGCTGCACGGAGCTTCTCCGTGTTCTCTGCAGAGCCAAACAGAAGTAACAAGGTGACCACTTGGTCTGCAGCAGGATGCCGAAGCACACGGCTTCAGCAGCAGCAGCCCACGTATTTGTCCTGCCTACACTACAACTGCTCCAGACATCAGTGGCTTTGGTTATTACTGCCATCAATCCAGCAATCTCTCACCAGCACTGACCTCTTTTTAGCAGATTAAGGAAAGAAGCCTTAACCTTCTTGCTAAGTGATTATATGGATCATACCATTTTTTAAATCAGGTTCAAGAGTTCAATTAGTACATAGCAACAAATATAACAAGCAAAGTCATAAGAGGATCTACTTCTAGACATGTTTACTACAGTTAAAAAGATGTTATAATGAATTTTTAATGGCTGTTTACACCACAATTCTTGCTAATTATCTTTTCTGGATTGCACAGCACACAACGATTTTCTTATGATCTTCCAGAACCTGACAGTATGTCAGAATGCAAACAGTACAGCACAAAAGTTAAGGCAAATAACTTTGGTCTCCTGTACAATAAAAACTGCTCTTTTAGTATCCTCATTACTATCTGTTTTCTACAGTTCTCTGCTCTTAGTTGCTTCCACAGCAGAGACCATTGCCATCGCCTTTGTCTCTTCCCTTTTCTTTCTTGGTACCATGTTGTAAACCAGACATCCTCCATGCTAGAAAGCATCATCTCTGCACCTGTGTGTGCTAATCCGCACGCCACGGCTAAAACTGGTGCTGCCAAACACAAACAACTGTGAACACAGCTTGATAGTTTCCTCCATGGCTGATTTTTTTTAAAGTTGCTGTCGAAGTGATGCTTAAACGATTTAAGATATCATCAGCACCCTTCCAATGTACCTGAAGGCTGAAAACTGCTGCTCTGTTCCAAGACAGGCTAGGTGCCTCCCGGGGATGCCCGAGCTCTTCCCAACAAGGGCCGCCCACCCCACGGATGAGCGAGCGCAAGCTGCCACGCAGACCAACGCCAACACCGGCTTCGACGAAGGAGCAACCACCGCTCCCAGCCTCCGCAGCCCGGGCCCACGAGCCTGCAGAATCCAACACTCCAATAGTCCTACTTTACTCTCTCATTATTTAACAAGCAGATTAGCTGGCTACTTATGTTCTCCTTCCCTGATATTACAAAAGAACTTCCCTCACTTCCCATTTTGTATTGCAGAAAGAGCCGGGTAAGTAGTTTTGCAAGAGCAATTCGCCCTTTTGTCACTGAAGACTAGCAGAGGTCAAATTTAAGATCTTATATTCATCTACTTTTTGTCCACAGATGCCACTGAAAAATAAAAAAAGGGGGAACAAAAAAGGGCATTTTGCATCATTTGTTTAGTCTAATGCAGCCTAAAACTCTTCTTAAGCATAGGTAAAACCGGGTCCCACGTTTGTTTGCAACGCAACAACACAGTTAGCTTTAAACTTCTGGACACGGTAAATTAAAACAACATAGTAAGGGAAGAACTTAGTGCCATCTGAATTTGTCTTTGACAACTTGACTTTAAGGTATTCCTCTCCTGCTCAGCTGGATAGATTCTATTTGATAGTATCCAGATGGTTGTCTGTGTTGTCATCTTATTTTTACCTGCTTCTGGATGAAATGACAAAAGATAGGAAGTCAGAATAAATAGTTCCTTCTAATCTTAAGACTTATTAACTCAGACTCCTGATTTAAAGAAGCTTAGAGGTTGCTCACTATTATTACAGAAATAGGCAAAAACACTTCCTGAGTTAGTCCTAGGAATACATTTCCCAGAAATAATCTCTTCTGACAGTCTAGATCTTGTTATTGCAAATGGAAGGAGATGTTTATACATTTAAAGGGCTTTGCTTTTTCAAGAATGGCACATCTCTGTCCCAAGAAACACAACTGATGAGCACCTGCACCTAAGACGAGCCCTGCTCATTTCTGGGAAACCACCTGACATGGTGCACAACCTCTGAGGTCGACAGGATTTAAAGAAACAAACCAAAAATCTGACAACTGTGGCACCTGCAAGGTTTACATGGACCAGGACATTAGCATGCCAGGTTTTGCACAAACATACATTCAATACAGTTCCTTCCCTAAAAGGCAATATTGGTTGTTAACCAACTGCTTGAAGGAAACAGCAACAAGTAGTCAAGGGCAATAATCACTGTTACAACAAAACAAAAGGCGAAAGAGCAAGGGAACCCAAGGGCACAATTCACTTCTTACAGACTCTGGTCTGTGCAACACACAACCCTGCACTGAACACAGCCATACTTACAAAGGTAGCAGGGCACATTGCCATGCCTTATCTGCATGCACAGCTCTACAAGGGGAAACCCTGGCCAGCATAGTAATCATGCTGCTGCTTTGGGAAGAGGGAAAAAAACTCTCATGAAAATGAACATTAGAGCCACATGATACTTTCTTTTGGCAATGGGAACTACTTTTGATCACATTTAGCAGTCGTGCATTGAAGTACTGACAAGAAAAGGCCTCATAATAGCAGCCAAATGTCTGTCTCTAGAGTCATCTATTTTGGCCTTACAATTTTATCAAATATTAAAAAGCATTCTGGAGTTGTACTTACCAAAATGCAGTCCACTTTAGATTGTACAGTTTTGCTAGACGTGAGGGAAGAAAGAGAGAATAGAAAACTTGAATTAATCTCATCAGTAATGACAAAAATATTACAATTTAGAATAGCTGTAACTATAGTAGATGTTTCATCTCTTTCTGTGAAATATCCTGCTAATCTTTGGAAGAATACTCATCCTGATACTTCTTTGTATATAGTCACTCCAATGCAACTGTTTGTCAGAAGAGTTGCTGTTTTGCTCTTTTACAGAAAAACTCTTTATAGAAGAGGCTGTGCATATGTTTTAATTAAGTATCATTGCAATTGGGAGCCATTAACCCAATGTGCCAAGCTGTCAGGATGGATGAACTACTTCACAGCACTGGGCTCAGAATATTGTATGTTCTTCCACAGTTCAAATGCATTTTACTTTTTATTCTCTTTACACAAAGAAAAAAAAATCCTGCTTCCAAAAATCCCACCACCTCAAGGCATTTATTTCTAGCTTTCCAAAGAGCTACTACAAAGCAGGAACAGTTGGTATTCTACTGACAACTTAAAGTTTTCCACTTTCATCTCACTACCTCCCAGATGGTTTATTAAAAAGAGACTGGGTGGGGACTGAATTTAAAGTATGCCATAAATGACCTCAGTAAATGCGCCAAGGAGTGCAAATGGTATGGAACTTATTATGCATCACATAAACACACCCGTAAGCAGCTTCTGTGTTTCTTAAGACTACTGTGTTTTACATGCTTGTACTGACTCTGCATCATCTGAAGGTATTTACCATCGCTGTGAAGAGAAGCGGGAGCTTTAGTGTGAAAAAAGCAATAGTCTTTAATCCTGAAGACTTGCTGAACAAACACTAAAACAACTGGCTTCTGAGTTTAGGGAGAAATCTTTTCCTACTGGTATGAAATACAATTCAGACTATCGTTAACCCAGAACAAAGACCATCACTATCAAAGATTTCACTTTTATGTGGGCATCGCTATGTCACAAAGACGGATCGAGGAAGGTATCCGATGGAAGCGTTCATCACAAGGAAGAAACAAACGTCTCTAGTACAGGGAGAGGAGAGAGAAGGAACGATCCTGGAACAGCATCTGCTGTTGCCCGAGATGCTCAGAGAGGCAGGATGCAGGCTGTGCAGCCTGCCACAGTACCTCATTTTGGGACCAGGTCCAAAATCTTTTCTGTCAGCACTACTATTACTGATGTGGAAGTGCCCATTCCCATACAAAAGCTCCATACAGCTACAACGATCACATTTAACCAAAACTTCCATGGGTAAGGAGAGCAGACATCTACTGAAGCAGATACATTAGCATTTGATTTTGCACTGGGAGAAGACAGTCAGTTGGATAGACACTCAAGGATGACAAGGAAGAGAAAGTAGAGCATTGGGATTTGAGAAGAGAGTGATAAAGGCAGTAAAATGGAAGCTTCTCTTTGCCCAAGGGAATGGGATTAGGTTTAATACAGTGTTTGATAAAGGAAAAGAGCACCCAAATGTCATCTTACTCTCCATAAGCCACTGTCTTACTACATACACACAAGAAAGCAGAGAAAAAAAAAAAAAAAAAAAAAAAAAGAGCAAATGGCACCAAGAGTGGAAGTCTGTGGCTGCTGCTAAGGGCAATCCCTGCTTCAGACTCCAAACTGAGCATAGCACATTGCCAAAAGTCAACCAAAACATCCGGCTGTTCCAGGCACAAGCACTTCCTTCCCCCCAGCCCCTGCTCCCCTGCCTCAGGTCCCCGCCAGGTCTCACGATGCCCAGGCTGCTAGAGCCTCTCTTAAAAAGCGCTGTTCACATCTGCAGGCAGCAGCTCATGCCCATTCCGGCACCGAAACCCCGCTCCAGGCTTCTCACGGTAGCTTAACGGGGAAAGGGTGCACAAAAGGCAGGGGGTGCAGGGAGAGGAACAGACCAAACCCATTCTGAACTCAGCCTCCATTCCACAGGCTGGCACACATCACCATGGGGTAAATTTGTCAGGAGAGCAGGCTGCAGCCAGCATGACTGACAGCCCTACTAGCCTCTGTCACACTGCCCATAAGCACGTCTGTCTGCATTCATATTTTCTTGCAGAAAGAAAGAGGCAAGTAGAGTCATCAGGGCAGCTGACCCCTAGAGTCTCCTTTATCTCCAGAAATCAGTCCAAGACCCTAAATGGAAACTCTCAAATGTTGTTCAGGCTCTTCTAGTTTAACCTCTGTTCCCACAGTACCACCAATGGTGCGCAGAAGGACAAGCAGAAGAGCAGTAATAAGACCATGAATACAGCTTTTATATGTATACATACATATATAGGCACACATACATATTTGTATGCATATACATACACCCTGTTCCGTGGAGCAATGTTTCCTTTTCACCAAATGGTGGCACAAGAAGAATAACAAGAATAGCGTTAGGGCAGCTAATACTATTTCAGAAGAATGAATAGTATTATTCTCTACGCTGAAAGCCTCCCTCAGGTTAAAATAAACTAATTCACTTATTAGGCCTAAAATTGAATTCAGGCATAGACGAGCAATTTATCTAGAATAACATGGAATCCTTCTGAATCTAGGGTAGGGTGTTTCCTACGAGCGATAATAAACTTTTTACAATGGCTCTTGAATTAACAATTTGCAAGAGGTTTCAATTCACCATAAGAACCTGAGAGTGTAAAGTTATAAATAAAAAATTTACAACAAAAGAATTAACGACTATCACAATTAATGATGAAACTTTTAAGTAGACTGTTGGAAACTTAGGCAGACTGTTGGAAACTTAAGATACACTGAACTATTGAAGATAGATGTGGTTCCATTCTACTGCCAAGGGAAATCCTACTCAAAAATATCAGCTCCGTCCAAAACAAAACTACAGTGTTGCTCAAATACACCTCTGAACAAGGATCATCAGCCACCGGGCAGAATTCTCAAAAACACGAGCCCAGCTTCTCTTAACACAGCAAAGGACATTTCTTAGCCTTTGCTTTAGAAGGGCCCAAGAGAGCTGCTTCGTGCAAAACCCCTCTGAGACCAGAGGAGACTTCCAGCCCTCTGTCTTGTCAAGGAAGACATGGTGGCAGCTGTTGCTCGATGGCTGACTACAGCCAGCTTTAACATTTTCAGTTTTTGACCTAACCATTACGCCCGAGAGCAGCCCGAGATCTCAGAGAGACTTTTGAACATACATTTTGAATGCTGCAATAACTTCAGCTCCTAAATGCCGAAGCCATATTGACAAACTCCTGAAGATGTCTTGGGGAAAGGAAAGAAAAAAAAAAGAAAAAAAGAAAATCAGACTAATGCATTTCCTCAAACTGCTCTTCTATCTTATGCCGAAGTATGTGTGTCTGCTTTCCATGACCTATTTATATATTTCCACTCAAACAGCTCCATTTTAATGGCCCTGACTTGGCATGAGCAGAATGAAGGGTGTGTTCTCAGGTGCTTGGTTGGGTTTATTTTGCACTGAGGGAGATGGAGAGGAAAGTCGGAGAGAGGGCAAGGAGAGTTAATTTTTTTTCAAAGTGGCATAAAACCAGATGCTACCAACCTTTCTCAAATTAAGCACTATCTTACTTTCAGGAATAGGTAGTTTACCCACTCTAAGCAATAGGGGAATATCGTATTACAAGAGGTGGCGGAATCCAGTTGTTCAAAGAATATTTAGTATTTCCTTAATGCTGTAAATAGTTGAAGGCATATAACCACAAGGGATATGAGAAGCCTTACACCTGAGACCAGAAAGACAAAAGTAGTTAGGAAGAATGGAAAAAGAAAGCACTCAAACCTACCAGCTACTTCCCAGTTAACTCCGTATGACTTCTCAGAGCTTGTGCAATCACTGGAAGTAACCCTTATCAGCTTTTTGACTGTTAATCAGTCATCATTTAATATTAAAGCCAGCAGCACAGCAAATCCTGCAGAAGTATGCACGCACAGTAAGCTGTGTGAATACCCATCAGCAGGAGCATTCCTAGGAGCTCCACAGGCCCCACAGTACAGGTGTCGCCAGCAAACCAGTGTTCTGGGCCAGGGATCTGGCGGGAGAGGGACAGCAGCACCTCCAGGAGGCTGGCACACAGCTCCCCCAGCCACAATCCCTGCCCTAAGAGGCACCCAGGGTAAGCTTTTGACCACAGAGCAGAAAACTAATTCTCAAAGGAAGAAAGATGCCAATAACGGCAATAGTTCAACCTGGCAAAATTCAAGAGAAAAGTAGAAACACAATTACTGTGCAAAAGGCTGGAAGGACTTCTCCCAAAAAATCACTTGCAGCCCACGTGCAGAACTCAAAGTGAACGGTGTCACAGTGCTGCTCCGTTACGTTTACTCGGATGCCTGCAAACAAGCCTTCCATGCCAAAGCGAAGGATGCCCAGGGAAACAGTTGGAGCTGGCGGCCAAGGAAGAAATACTGTGGCCACAAGGCCCATTATTGAGCTATGAAAAGCCTTCATTTCCCACTGCATCAATCCTTCCCCCAGGTGACTGCCAAGGGCCATTTGTGACAGCAGTCTACAACAGGGTCTAGAGGGTCTTGCACAGGTCCCTGCGCAGGGCCAAGGCTGCCCACGGCTGGCCTGGCCTCCCACGCTTCTCACCTGCTCACGGGGAACAACCAACAGCTCTTCTTCCTGCTCAGGTTCCCGGTGCCTCTCTTCCAAAAATCCCTTTCATCCCCACACTAACCGAGCGGTACTCCACTGCTAAATACCAACAGCACTGATCTAGAGTAAGTCATCTTTGTGAAAGCCACACACAAACAGAGGGAATCATTGTTAAACTGAACACACGTCCTTTTGGAGAGACCCAGACATCCCCTGCAGAACTCAGAGGGTGGTTAAGAAGAGCCTGTCTATGGTGGCACGCTGCGAGGCGGCGCTCGGTAACAGGATTACTGCCTGCACTGAGGTCGGCAGTACTATGGGAAAGGTGCTATTACTACCGACTTACCACGACGAGTGCTGCATCCCAACAACGCCTGCAGGACTCAGGCCCCGATTCCTAATCTTACTAAATTAATGCTTGCGTTTC